ACATACCTAGATCCGTGCACTTTGCAGGAAGGTGCTCTTAAATAATTGAAGATACCTGCGCTTCAACTTTTACCCTTTCAATCCCCTCCAATTTCAGTTTTCTATTACTTGTTCACAATTATTTCAAAAATTTAGTATAACGAGGTACTTGTTTAATAATATCTAAAAGTAGAATATTGACCTCGCATTTACTGAAAATTTCACGCAGCTCATCATGATCTCGTTCATATTTCCTAAATCCTATTAAAGTTTGAGGGAAATGAGGCACATGTTTATAATCCGAAAGAGATATAAACTTACGCTTAGTTACCTCATTATCATTGGGATCACTCTTTTCTGCTGTGATATATTCCTCATTTTAAAACTAAACCTAAATTTTAAAATAAATAAAATAAAATAAAAGAGGAGCTCGTAGGCCAACTTGATCCCTTGATCAACAAGTTAGTCCAGGCTTGGCTCATTTACTTATAGACTGTTCTCGACTCACCTAATAAGCGGCTTGATCCATTTCTTATTGTATTTTACTTGACCGAAATACCAAATAATCATCTATCAGCACTAAGTATACTTAACTATTGTAATATATGTTTTATTTTTGTTCACATTTAGAAATTCAAAAGATTTTATAAAAATTAGTAGCTACCAATCACAACGTTGCTCAAGATAGAAACCAACATCAAACCTTATCGTGTTCTCTTTTTGTTTGTCTTTTGATTGCCCTCACCACATATGTGGCCTAAATTAATTTTGTAGATAGGCATAATATTGTAAAATCTTAATAGAATCCCAATTTTAAATTTAAATCACATATTTCATGTACAATTCTCATATATGATATGATTAAGTTACTATTACAAAATACTAAAAACCATAACAAGATCTTAAAAGTGAGAATAGGTGGTGGTTTTCAAAACCTTCTCACAAGCAAGCTTCTTAAAGGGGAAATTAGGTTGGACTTTCATACATTTCATATGATGCAGTTATGAGTCTCCAATATATTTAAATTTGTGATTCGAGGCCTTTACTTAATCAAAAAATTTCAATGCAGTTGATAAAATTTACACGACTTTCATATGACATAAAATTAGATGGCAAATCCATCAAATCACTTTTAATATTTCTTTAAATTTCACTAAAATTCTCTGGTAATTTAACCTTCCGTGAATATTTCGATCACTTGGAAACTCGAATACGCGTATCTAAATATGATGTGACTAGAACTTCCCTTTTAGAATATGTTTGAGCCCCATTTTTTTGGTTAAAAAAGCATTTTGAAATAGTAGATTGATGGAGAATATGTGGTTAAAAAATAAGGAAAAATTTCGAGTTTGCTTGTAATATTATTATTGATGAATGTGTGGTTGAAAAAAGAAGAAAAATGTATTTTGAAAATAACGTGAATCAAACAAGGGCTTAAGTTTTAGGGATTCATCATCACATCATGTGCAAAGTTGTGGAGCCCAACACTATTTTCACCATTTAAAAGGAGAAGTTGATTCATAATCTTTAGTTATTGTGGGATTGATTTTCGAATATGGCAACCTTTTGAACCACTATTGAATTCATGGGCAGAAAAGAGATAGTTTGACGAAGTGAAACATTTTAGTAGCTAGAGAAAACGAAAGAAAGAAAGAAAGAAAAAGAAAAAAGGCAAAAGAGAAGGGTGGAGGAAAAAGGGGAAGCCACTAAATTGAAAAATATGCCATCACATCCATTAATCAAAACTAAACAAATATTATAAAGTTGAATGCCCACAATTGAGAGTTCTGTTAATAGGCGTTGATCACACAACTATAATGAAATGTGGGGATTAATTTAATCATTTTTTAAAATCGGAAAAACAAAGATTAATAAATATTAATGCAATTGTCTCATTTTCTTTGCAATGATGGGAATTTCGGAGTGGGTAAATTTTTATTACATTTTGGATATAGAATTTAATACTAGGAGTTCTTCATACGATTAGAAAAATGCATTTACTAAGAAATCGATATCTTGCTCCATAATTGTGAGGGAACATTAGCATGACAAATGGTTCGTTCTAAAATGTATGGATGGATGGATGCGTGGGTGGAGGGTAAAATCACAGTTAAATAGTAAATTTCAATTATTAAGATAGATATCAATTAAACATTGATAGGGATTTATGAACCCTCAACATCGTGGGTAGATTGGGTGTGAGATAATTTGATTGAGAATTTATCAAAATTAACCAAAAGTTGTTAGAGCACGTGGCACTATGTCCTTAAACAGAATAACGACATTGCCCACACTACTCAATCATAATCGCCGAATTTTTTATGTTATTTTATTTGAATGTTTGTCGGTTTCGTATTCTTTTTGCCTTGGATCCTCGTGGGAATTTTAAAGCTTCGTCTAGGACATTTATGGAAATTAAAAAAAAAAAATTAGATCTTCTTCTTCTTCTGCCCTTTTTGTTTCACCATAGAAACACTTTCAATTCTCTCCCTCTCCCTCTCCCTGTCCCTGTCCCTCTCTCTGTAACCAAAATATACATATTTTGGAATGCAGAGAGATTAAGCTGCACTGACAAGCTTGGTTAACTTTTCATTTGCCTGTTCTATGAAAGATATTGAAGCTACACAGTAAGTTTCGTACAATCTTATTGCTATATTTTTCCAAGAGAATGTGTTTGTTTATGGGAATATTTATTTTCTTAGAATTTTTATTTATTTTTTGAATTTTGTTAGGTTGTTTTGTTGGGGTTATGTCTTCTCATATGCCTGAGAAAGCTTCAAAATTTTCATGGATTTTGAGGTCAAATCCCATGGTTCAATGGTGGTTCAAGGTGCTAATGATGTTAGTATTTCTTGGAATCTTGATTGTGTGGGGAATTGATGGGTTGAATGTGAATACTTTCCAGAAAAGATTTGTTGTGTTAAAATCTATTAGCTCTGGAAATTTGTCACAACCCCATGAAGATTTAAGCTTTAATAATCTTGCCGTGGAAACCCAAATAGAAAAACCGTACCAGGAAAACCAACATAACCAAAGCATGGTACAAACCCATGAAAATCTTGGTCCTAAAATTGATCCTGCACCGGTCATTTTGGACAAAAATCAACAAAATTCGACCTCGGAGGACGAGGGTTTGAATAGCCGCCCTTCCGGACCGAGAATTCTGGATTGGATTACAACGGAGCTAGAGGCGAATTATTCATCAAAGCTTCTTGGCAATTGGTTGGCCCCGGGGGGTGAGCCGTGCAGGGATTCGAAAACTGTGGACATTAGTATTCCAGGTTTGGATGGTCATGACAACATTGAATTGTTAACTAGTAATATCCACGAGTTTGTTTTCCAAGCATTAGATGATTCAGGGAAGCCACGTTGTTTGGGTGGTGATTATTTTGAAACTGATCTCTCGGGCAAATCATGGAAGGCTAGGCCTCCCATTAAGGACTTTGGAAATGGCACTTATGGGTTCTCCCTTCAAGTCCACCCTGATTTTACAGGAGATTTCAATCTTACCATAATCCTTTTGTTCCGACATTATGAAGGATTGAAATTTTCACCTGAAAGATTTGCGTTTGACAGGGTTCTCCGTGTGATTCCAATCAAATTTAAAAAATCCTCTGCCAAATTACCAGAAATAACGCAATGCAAGAAGTCTGATTACAATAGAGATGTTTGGTCTGGCCGATGGACTCGTCATGCAAGGAATGATAGCTGTCCGATTAGCAATGATGGGCGATATAGATGTCAGAATCCCAATTTTCCATGCCAGCATCCATGGTGCAATGGTCCTTTGGGTGTACTGGAAAGTAATGGGTGGATATATTCAACCCATTGTTCATTCAAGATGTTTTCAAGCGAAGAAGCTTGGAATTGTTCGAGCAATCGCTGGATTTTCTGGTGGGGGGATTCCAATCATTGTGACACTATCCGTAACATCCTGAGGTTCATTTTGGATGTCCATGATATTGAGGCTGTTCCAAGAAGATTTGATGTGAACATCACCAATCCGAAAAATCCATCTCAAACGGTTCGGTTCACAAGCATTTTCAATGGTAATCCAAACGCTACCGGAAATTATCAGGGCTTGAATTCGTTAATTAATGCGGAGTACAGAGAATTGCTGAAGGGTTACTTTTCAGGAAATGATGTTCCCGAGACTGTGATAATGAATTCAGGCTTACATGATGGAGTGTTTTGGCCTAATATTCGGAGATTTATAAATGGGGCTGACTATGCAGCATCATTTTGGGCCGAGATAGTCAATGGGGTGAGGAAAAGAGGACTCAAGCCACCAGAAATCATATACAGGACTACAGTAACTACGGGTGGATATGCTAGAAGGCTTGCATTTAATCCTCATAAAATGGAGGCCTTCAATGGGGTAGTATTGGATAAGTTAAGGCAATATGGGATCCTTGATCGAGTGATTGATGATTTCGATATGACCTATCCATGGCACTATGATAACCGGTGCAACGATGGTGTGCACTATGGTCGTGCTCCTGCAAAATTGAAGTGGAGGGATGGCCAGATCGGGCACCAATACTTCGTTGACCTAATGCTTGGCCACGTTCTTCTCAACGCGGTGTGTGTTAGATAATGTGATTAAGCAACAGTGTTGCTAACACGCAGAGTTGGTATTAACAACATTTCTTTGGTGGGATGAGAAATTGGGGTAAATATTTCGTCTTGGCCGGTAAATTTCAAGCTTTGATGATTAGATTTTGACTGATGCACTCCGGCCAAAACAAGATATGATATTTCGAGGGACAGCTATAGAGGGTGGGGTCTGAATTATCTTTATCGTTCTTGACAATTCTTTTGGCTTTCTGCCAGCTTGTAGATTGAACATTATAGCACTATATTGTGACGATCTATGCGAAGAATTTTGAATTTCGATAGATTATATGAAAGTTTTTTTTTTTTTTTTTGGGTTTTTGTCGTAAAATCTTTCAGCCATCTAAATTCACGTACTAGATTTCGAAAGAGTAGTGCATTTTTCCTGTATCGCTTACTAGATGGCCTTTTATAATGGTTTGGTGTCTTTTTCTACTTTTTTTTCCTCTCTAGCAAGAAACTTTAGTCTCTGCAATTGTATGGAATGTAACAAAGTGTAAAAGGGGATGTAGTAGTGCGTTTGGTAATGAAAATGTGCACATTGTCCATTGTGTTACATTGCATCTAGGGTGGGCAAAAGTGTCAAAATGGAAAGTTTTAAACGGATCTAACCAATTGAATCTTTCTACTAATTTATAGCTTTCAGTTGGTGGGTGGCCGTACAAGCACAGGTGACTTGTCAAGAAAATGCAAATAGGAAAAGTGAAATTCCTTCGTTTTGAAATTTTTTGGGTAGCAATCAATATTTAAAGCCCACCTGTTATTTTCGTGGCACTGTGGTCATTAGTAACGAAATTGTCCATCAAGTGAGGCTCACGCGTCACATTTGTTAAGTGACGAAAATGATAGGATTCAATAATTTAATCTAATTTTTACTGAACAAGGATGAAAATAAATAAATTACTTAGTTTAGTATTTAAACAATAGTTACTTTTAGAATAATTAATTTTTATTACTTGAAATTTGAAAAAAAAAAAAACATTATATTCAATTAAGTTTAAATATAAAAAATTATATATAAACTATATTTCACTTTTTCCTAAACTTAACCAATTGTCTGTGTACAAGTTATAGATGAGTTCCTACCTTTTGGAAAAAAAATGTAGGATATTGCTGTTTGTATAGAAAAAACAGTCGGAAGAAGTGATCGAAATGATGTAGAGAGAAAAAAATTGGATGAAAAAATTGATTGAATTTTAAACTGACAAATGATAAAATGTTATGTGGTATTTTGTGAGGCATTATATAAGCCTTGATGTACATGTAACATTGTCCAAAAATGTAGCAAGTGGTCTCCAATATAATATTTTGTCAAACTGAGCTCAGTATATTACTTTTGTAACTTTGGATCCCAATTATTTCCATTTTCATTAATAAAAAAATGCTAAATATACTCACACCATAATTTTTAATAACTACACTATAGTTTATTGTATGAAAGGTTCATAACCTTTGCACATTATCTCATTTGTGTTTCAACTTTTTTCATTGCATTTTTATTCTCAAATTAATATAAATTTTTCTTGATAATGATCTCTCTAAAATTTTCTTTAAGATAGTGTAAAAACACTCATTTGCACATTGTAGTTCTAAATAAGCAAAACAAATAATAATGCAAAAAATACAATTAAATAATTGATTTTCATTTTAAAATACGTTACCGATATTTTGGACGAAAATCACGTTTTAAAACAAGATTTTTTGATCAATAAAATGTTAAAAATAAAAATATGATAAAGAAAAAAAATTAGAGATATAAGTATGATAATAAATAAAAGTTACTAACTTTTACTACAATTAAAATATGGTATACATACAAAAAAAAATGTGGTGTGAATATAACCATTCATCGAAATCTCACTTTCCTTGTTTAAAGGACAAAGTTAGCCCTTATGTTCAATTAAACAAAACAAAAAAAAAAATCCAGAAATAAAGGGCAAAAAACCCTATACAACCACCCATAGTCGCTCGACCCGACCCCAATATGTGGCTTTGATTTTTTTTTTCTTCTCTTTTTATCATTCTTCTTTAATTAAAGGTACGGAAGAAATCACCTTCTTAATAAAAAAAAAAATGATTTTGCCACTTAGACAAAAAAAGGTTTGACATATACAGTGACATAATGCAAGGTGACAATAAATGATTTGATGAAAAAATTGATTATCTTTAAAACAATCCAATGATGAAATATCACGTGACATTTTGTCAAATATTATATCAAATAGTTTGCATTGTAGCATGATTGATAAAAAAAAAAAAAAAAAATCAAGTTTCTAATTAAAAATAGAGAGGTAAAACTATTTATTGAAAACTCTTGTATGTAGCGTTAAAACCCAAGAACTCTACCAATTTGAAATTCCCGCCTTAAACTAAAATATTTAACATAACAAGTAACGGCTCTTTTCTCGATTTTTCGTTGTTTCGATTACATTACTCTTCTCTCAATCTTGATTTCTCTTAGTTTTGAAAAACGCAAGTTCGACCCTAACAACACCTAGAGGGAGGTGAATAGGTGTAATATGCTGAATTAAAATCTTATTAACTAATTAACAACAAGTCACCAATTAATTATCTCTAGATGGTTAATCACGCAGTCAATTTAATCCAAAATTTAAATACCACAGATCATATATTCATAATATAAAGCAGTAAACGAACAACGGTATGATCACGGAGAAACTCAACTGGGAAAAACTCCGAGCGCTTTACCAGTCAATCTGCTATAAACGAATTTAACAACTTACGATCTACCAGACTAGAAGACCCGTACTATCTGATCACCCGACTGCATTCATTACAACTCTCCGTAGATCCCGTGCTCTCCTGCACCAATCCTTAGCTGCTGTTGTTAAAGTTCTCCATGGAATCTGCTACCCTGCAGTACTCCAAGCCTTGTGAATTCATTTATCTTTCGTAGATCACGAATAACAAACCGTTCTTCACCGACAGGAACTCCTATCAACTTCCTTCAATCTTCAAAACTCTGACCAGATGAAGAGGAAGTAGTGATTTGGTATTTGGATTATGGAACTGATGTTTTTCTCACCAAAACACTCACAGGTGAAGGTTGAAAGAATCAAATATGAAGGAATCACTTTGCAATCTTTTTCTCTCTACGTTCAACCTCATAAAATCTGTACAGAAGTGTTTTAGTATTTATAGGTAGGTCAAGAAACGAATGGGTCAAGTAAAAAGCCTTGGAAGTCGCGAAATAAAAATTTCCCGGACAGCACTGTCGCTCGAGTGAGGGCCCAGCGATACCACCGTCGCTAGAGCGAAGGAGGGGCGACCGTCTAGCGACGATGTTTCTACTTTTGTAGCTCGAGCCAACCCTTGGCGACAATCCAACGAAAATCCACGTCGTTTTCCTCCTTGTTCCAAACTCGAAACCTTAGCAAACTCCCCCATTTGACATTTTGTGACAAAACAATAATATATGTCAAGGCAGTAATCAAATAAAAGTTACAAACTCAAAACAATAACACAACCTACAACTAACAACTATCTTGAATGAATAGACAACTCAAATACCAGTGTAAAATATGTGGAAAACAGGATCAATGACAATCATAGTTCAAAATAGTTTTAAGTGTAAGAATCACTTAAGGAATTGTAACTCATAAAGCATATTTTTCAGTTTTATATCACAAGCTAAACTAAGACATAGTATCAATGCAACCCAACATACCAACATGAAACATTGACACTATAAAAAATCAAAAACTTAATTTAGCGAAACTGAAATGAAATAATGAAATGCCTTTGAGTCATAAATCAAACAAAGCTGTTGGAATATCTACACTCTCCATTTTTGTCACAAAATGACAAGGGATAAAGAACAATATATAACATCTTAAGAATGTACGTGTAAGCAGTCATAAGTATATGCAATGAACTATAAATTATCCCACAATTCCAACTTAAAACACCCATGGAGTAAATGATATAAGTGACTCATATGTGTTAAGTGTCGCTAATCCTCTGATAGTAGGACTCCAAACCTTAATTTTGTGATAAATGACTTGCAAAACATCACTGCTAATATGTATATTCCTCTACTTATGAAAGTCAAACAAGTAAAGCGCAGTAGAACCTAGATATGAAAGCTCAGTGTGTGGAGAATGTCTTTTCTCCCCCTGACTTGTAGCACAAAACAGTTATCTTATATCGTAGCAGTAAACAGGAAAGCTCATATATATTGTATTCATTTTAAATGCAAGCTTCTTTTCATTAAGTGACTAACATGACCCCTGTAATGAGCTTTATGCCGGTTAACCAAAGTCAGATGACCATAGACACTAGGTTATGAGAAACCTCATAGTCTTAATTATTCAAGTCAAGTAGGCTTCGAAAAATAGCATAAGATATAGAGTTCCTTTAATTTAAACTTTTCATTATGTGGCTATATCTTATTGTAGGGATAAATTCGAGCTTAAGTTTAAATAAGTTGGTCAATTCATGTTCAAAGTCATCCTACTAACATGTGACTGACATCCCAAATCTCACGCACACTTTAGAGTCCCACTATCAAGTTCATGGTGTGTGCAGTGCAAATGGTATATGAAGAGACCTATATTAAATACTCCAAATATATCCTAAGTCAGCAATGGGAATTATATTATGGCTCATTAAATAAACTCAAGCTTGATTACAACCAACAGAATCAAGGGTATTGTATATCATGCTGTGGAACCAATGTCCAAATCAACATCTTCCTTTTTTTTTTTTTTTTGTAAAAATTTAAACCATAGCAAGAAAATAAAATGTTTTTTTTTTATTTTTGTATAAAAACATGAATACACCAGTCACACAAAACATATTTAAAATTCAAACAAAACACAAGAACATAAAATAAAATGCATGAAAGATAAGTAAATAAATATGATGCATGTATAACACAATGTCACACAGTAGTAGAATACCAACATGCATCAAATATACTCAGTCAATGAGGTACAGAAATACCAATAGCTTTTCTAAGAA